AAGACTGGTAGCAAAGCTAAGATCAACTACTTCACGGCGGGCAGAGCCTTTTATCAGATCATCAAAGGCTTTCCTAGTAAAGATAACTTTTGGTTCAAGAAGTTCTTCTTTGTGAAGATAAACGAGGTTTCCGTTGGACCTAACTGGCTCGATAAGATATTGACTGAATGGGGATCTCGCGGTAGCGGTTCTCATAGATTTTTTGACCTATGTTACTTAGCTTCTTTTTGGTTGTGATTTCTAATGCCTTTGTGTTTTTTTGTATGTTTTGCAGCTCCGTAGCGCTTCTTGAAGTTCTCGAAGGACACGAACAAACTTCACGAAGCCTTCGTTGCTCGAAGGTGTCATTGGAGGAAGCACTTCTCCCTTCGACGAGTTGAGAGAGCTAAAGCCCGGCGCGTCGGTTCCACTCTGTTAGGTTCATCTCCATCTTCAAATCACACCGACTCCAGTGCCCCCATGGCAAGCAGGCCTACCCTTCGCGACAAGAGAGCCTCAGCCAAGAAGAAGGCTACCAAGGTGGAGCAGCGCACCGAGGAACAACAGCTTGAAGAGGTCGATACGTGCATACCGGTTCCAAATTGAGCCAGACAACCGCGATTGGGACACACATTGAGTCGGCCATACCGGTTCCAGATGACTCCACCGCTGACCATTTTCTCGTCTTTCAGGCTCGGTTTGCGTAGCCCTGGACCGATATGGGTTGACTCTGGTGCTTCGTCTGTCTACCTCCTCAATGATTCGTCATGAAGAGACAGGTCACAGAGCGGGAGCCGCAAGCGTAGAACGGATAGACGAAGAGAGTCTCGTTTCGATGAGAGGGCTCCGAAGCAGCCGAGACATTCCTCTAGTGATCGTGGAACGGCTGTTATTGACACTGACTAGACTGCTGCCTCCATGCTTTCTAAGATCACTCTTCCCAGCACTCGCTTTCCTCCTCCCGATACCCTCCAGGGCGAAGGGAGCTACGCCGAGATGGCTCGTCACGGAGTCTAGGTACGTCGCACCCTTCCTCCTACTCGATTTCTAGAACAAGTCCTTTCATTTTCCTTATGGATTTTTAACATTGCATTCCTTTGCCGTGTGTAGTTCATCTCCCACCTCAACAAGTTGACTTTGGATTACGAGGCGGAGTCTAAGGCAAATAGGCGCCAGCTCGAGGATGCGCAGCGAGATGCTGAGAAGTACAAAGGTGATGCAAGCGTGGCGACAAAGCGATCTGCTGACTTGGAGGCCGAGGTGAAGCAACTCCGCGATCAACTTGGCAGGGTGCAGAAAGACAACGAGTGTTTGACTGCCTCCAACACTCGTCGCTTCCATAGGCTAGAAGACTATTTTGCGAAGCTGAGGGCATTTGAAAAGCAAGAGGCGAATATGGAGCATGTCATTCATAAGGCGAGATGCGAGATGACAACTAAGTTCCAGGAGACCCTTACTTGTATTGAGAGCAGTTCGATGTCGTTAAGCGGGCTAGAGAGAGGAGTTTCGACCTTGCTCAGGTCGAGGGTAACCTACAGCTCGTCCAACAGGTTTGGAGTGAGACTCCTCCGGATCTTGAGACCGAGGAGGAAGATCTTATCGCGGCGGTGTCTGAGACGGAAAGAGCCCATCAGATGCTTACAGACGAGGTGGCAAACCTTAGGAGGATTCTTCGCGCCCTCCTGGTTGGGCTGGATGACGGTGAGCGTATCGAGTTAGCTGCAGCGTCACTAGGTGTGCGCAACTTCTCGGGGTCCAACAGCAAGACTCCGGGTTTATCCCATTTTAGTGCTAAGATGGCTGCATCGGGTCCAACTACTACAGAGTCATCGGTTCCTACGCAGGGTGCACTCGCTCTTGCTCTTGATGAGCCTACTGCCGTGCCTGTGGAGCGGGTTACCGCTGTGGTTATCCCCGCTTCAGGAGATGCACCCGAGGGTGGCGAGTCTGTTTCTTCCGCCAGCGTGGATGCCGAGGTGTTTGAGCGGGTGCCCGTGGAGGCAGCGACAGACGAGGTTACAGAGTAGGTGCCCGCAGAGGATACGACGAATGAGGCTGTAGTGCTGGACAGGACGGAGGTCGTGGCGACCGCTTAGCTTTACCTTTGCTTTTGTTGTTTTTCGGATTTCCAGTGTGTTGCTACTCCTTTTGCTTAGATTCTGGATTTGGTTCTGACACCTGGATGGTTTTAGTTTTTGTTTCAAACTTATGTTTTTTTTTCCTGCTTTGATGCGGGATACTATTATGATTTTGGTTTTTGGTATTCTTGTCTTGTTCAGTTAACGATGCTTTCTTTCGTGAAAAAATACTAAGTATCACAACCACTAAGTATTGCTCGTTCTCCTTTTAAGAATGAAGTTAACGACATGCTTGTCGACCTTCCTGGCGATCTTTCTGGTTTGTGGGAAGACGATGCTGCCATATCCACTCCAAAAGTCGTCTCATTCGAGTAGCATAGTTAATGTTCGGGTTGATAAATATTTCCTGAAAATGAGTATGCCTCAGGATTTTTAGACTGTTTGATGTGCGGGCGAGCCACTGTTGTCACGCCCGTTCAAGGGACATATGTTTTTGGTAAGACCAACGATCTGATAGTTGGGTTTTAAATGATCTGTTCGGTTTACGGACGAATCTTCATTGACACGCCCGCTCTGAAAAGAACAGTTTTAACGAGACCAACGGTCTGTTTGTTGGATTTTGAATGACCGGTTCGATTTACGTGCGAGTCTTCATTGATATGCCCGCTCCAAAAAGATCATTTTTAACAAGACCAACGATTTGCTTGTTGGGTTTATTGATGAACATTCCGGTTTACAGACTTGTTCCCGTGAACGCATCCACTCTGGCAATGGACATAATCATTTGTATATCGCGCTTTGCAATCCTGCTGAGGATGTAGTAGTCAGATCTGAATTAAGTGTTAGAGTTCATTACTGTGGCCGTCACCAACGAAATGAGGAGTGACATGTCTGTTCTGTTAAGACTTAGTATGTAAAAGAAGTAAATGAGATTTCGTAAAAACTTGTGAGTTTTATTCATCATAGAATTTCTTACAAAATTG